ATAATAACTATAAACATATTTGGACCAAAGCATTATTATTTCTTAAAAAAATATATGAATAAAAAAATTATAAATAAGAAAAACAAAGACTACTTTATAGAGCACAATTAATTATGCATCTTATCATGGGAAATCCCTGTAGATTAATCCCTGGTGAATATATATATGTTTGAGGGCTAAGTCTAAATTATATCACATTTTGTTGATTTTCTTTTTATTTTAGTTGAAATATAAAACCCACTTTTCTATGAATTCCATTGTGAGTAGAATAATAGTTTTGCTTAGTTGTGTATTTAAATTTTTATTATCAGTTGTTTATTTAAAGTAAGGCTATTAGCAAGCTTTTTAAAATATCTACAGTGTTAAAAATAAAATTAACAAGCTGTAAATATATATATATGTGTGTGTGTGTGTGTGTGTGTGTGTGTGTGTCCTACTTAGTAAGTAAAATGCATGTAGAAAATCTTTCATGACTTCAAACAGACTTAACTCTAACTGACTAAGTTGGCCTGATCTTTGATCACCTCCCCCCAAGCAGGGAGCAGACTTATCAGGCCACAGAGGAAGACAGTGAAGCCACTCCTGATGAGACCTAATAGACTAGGATCAAAAGGAAGGAAAGGAAGACCTCCCCTATCAGTGTACTTGGGGAGGAGCATGCATGGAGAAGGGGGAGGGAGGAGGAAAGGAGTTATAGGAGGAATACAAAGTGAATAAAGTGTAATTAATAAAAATAATAATAATAAAAGAAAAACGTGGGTTTGAGGCTATGAGGCAAACTGTGCTCATAAACTGAAAACTAACATGAAGCTATGGGAGAATGTAATTATTCTTATTGTTAAAAAAAATTAACCTCACCTGTCATTTTCAGAGATACTTTTATAATAAAGCCTGAATGTCCTTGGCCAAGCTACAATAAACACAACTTCATAGGGCTCCATTTTACCTGTTGTTTTTGTAAATTAGCATCCCTCTGCCAGAGACATTTGCTTTTGAAAGGCTTATTCCCTTCCCTGTTTCAACTTCTGGTCCTTTCTGAGAAGTTTCTCAGGTTTCAAATCATCCTTCCTCTGGATTCATCTATTGGAAGAGCTGCTAGGACCCAGAGGGACAAGAGGATGCTGGGACCCTGTACTTCTCACCTGCTCTAGACTTGAAGTGTTTTCAGTTGGGTTCATATACTGCCTGCCCTTGTGTATGTAAAAAAATTCAGTTTCCACCAGTTTATTTTAGTGGTGGCTACACTCTGGGCCTCCTCACTATTTTCTGATTAATTTCACATCCTTCATCCCTGGTAGAATACAGGCCTACATGGAGTATCCATTGTATGGGGACTGGAGAAGTGGTTTAGCCAACCAAATCCCTGCCTTGCATGCATAAGGATTTGAATTTTATCCGTAGCACACCTGTGAAAACCAGGCATGGCTACAAGTGACAACTGCAATCTCAGTATTGGGAAGAAGAAATCAGAAAGACGCATGGAGCTTACTCGTCAGCCAGCTCAATATTTAAACACCAGTTTCAATGAGAGACGCACAGTCTCAAAGAGAAAGGAGACAAATAAGGAAGACGCCTGATACTGACTTCTGACCTTGACATACATGTATACACGAACCCCACACAACATACAAAATAAAATAAGACATTTGCGTACCCATTGCTTGAAATATTCAAGAAATTTCTTATTGCTTAGATCAACTCATACCTGACATAATAGATTTTTATAAAACAGATATTGAGGGGGGCTTGGATTTGGGTTTTGGAGACAGGGTTTCTCTGCCTTGGCTCTCCTGCACTCAGTTTGTAGACCAGGCTGGCCTCAAACTCACAGAGATCCATGTACCTCTGCCTTCTTGAATGCTGGGTTTACAGATATGTGCCACCACGCCCAACTAATATGTATTTATTTTTACATATTTCTAATATGTATTTATTTTTATTTTATATGCATTGGTGTTTTGCCTGTATGTTTATCTGTGTGAGAGTGTTGATCTCCTGGAACTAGGGAATTGAACTGAGGTCCTCTGCAAAAGCAGCCAGTGCTCTTCTTTTCCTTAAATTAATAATTTCTAAAGAGCCTTATTTCAATTTTAAACCTATATATACAATTTGTACATATAAATATATATGTAGTGCATACACTTTTTTATTTCTTTTTTTTTATTAATTACACTTTATTCATTTTGTATCCCCCCATAAGCCCCTCCCTCCTCCCCTGCCGATCCCACCCTCCCTCCCCTTTCTGCATCAGTAGAGGACAATGCAGCCACTTTTGATGAGAACTGATAGACTAAGATCAGAAAGAAGAGGAGAACCTCCCCTATCAGTGGACTTGGGGAGTGGCATGCGTGCATACACTTTTTTAATTTGATTTAATTCAAAGTAAATGATAAACCTATCACTCCAGCTAACTCTAGCATGCATATGCTAAAAATAGTTTCATATGGGACTTAATACAGCCACCATGCTCAGAGAATTTGATACATTTTAAAAATCTCTAGTAACCCCAATCATAACCTTTATGGATTCTACCATTATTGGTAGTGATGATGGCATTGACGGTGGTGAAGGTGACATCAGATTAACCCAAGATTCAATCAAGGATTGACTTCAGTAGCTATCTTGAGTTCTGCCAACTCCATCAGTGGCCTCCCATCTGTATCACTTTTGACATCCATCTGACTACACACCATGTCACTTGCTCTGTTGTAAGAAGCATTCCAACTTGGCTGAACCCATCCTTCTCTACTTTCTTCACTTATTTCCAAGACACCATCAAGTGCCTTTTTCCTCGCAGCAGCCCCACCATTCCTCATCGTTCTCCCACCTCTCTTTGACTCTTTCCCACTGCACCCCATTAATAATCTCAACTAGTCTCCTTGCAATATGCAGATGACTCCTATCTTCTATATCACTGGTTAATCACTCTCACTTAAATTTCAAACTCGTAGATTCAATTATTCTTTTCTTGGCCACAGAATTTCAGTAACTAATAAAGGGATTTTTCTCTTAATTTCAATAGGGAGAAGAGAGCTTCTTATTTTTCATTTGTATTTTGCTTTGTACTGATTCAAGGGTAAAAACAAAACAAATAAAACAAACAGAAAACCAAACTTCTCATGAGCCCATGAGATGGCACTGTAGGTTAAACCTCTGGCATTAAGCCAAAATACCTATTTTCAATCCTTGGAACCTACAAAGGGGAAAGAGGAGAACCAACTCCTACAAGGTGTCCTCTGTCCTTCACATATACACCTTCACACACACACACACACACACACATACACACACACACACACACACTCACACACAAATATGAAAATTTTTAAAAAGAAAACTTTTTATAACATGAGAAAACTCAATCTTCATTAAGAAATTAAACAAACATACACACACACACACACATATAATGTGATTCTAATTCAAATCTTTTTTTTTTTCTTCCTTTGAGTCAGTTTCTCTGTGTGATAGCCCTGGCTGTCCTGGACTCTGGAGATGATACTGACTTCAAACTTACCGAGATCTGCCTGCTTCTGCCTCCCAAGTGCTGGAATTAAAGACATGTGCCACCACACAGGGTCTTAATAAGTGAGGTTATTTTTAAATTATATAAGCATTGAAATTCATACAAAGGAATAAATGCCAAAATGGCATGAAAATGGAGACACAGCCTTTCTAAACAGTGTGCTCAACTTAAAATTCTAGAAACTTCAGGATCTTGACCCTTTACCATTAATCCATGCATCCTTCACACCCAGACCCAGAAGAGAAGACATTTGCATACAGGTCACACATCTGTTCCTCTGAGGACATTCCATGAGACAAAATAAATCTGCAGCCAATGCTCTTAACCCCTCACCGGTCAGTCCAGCCCACATGAAACACATCTTTTAACTCAATTCAATAGAGAAATTTCACATTGGGAAATACCATGGAAAGCATTATCACCTGCCAATTAATTCCACTTCCAGGAATGCTTACACAACAGCAAAAACCCGACAAGCTGTACACAAGAACTGTATTCCCATATGTCACTTAGACATGTTTTCAGGGAGAGTATTAGAATTCTTCAGCATTACTCTGCATCATACATCTGCAGTGTAAGTTTTCCCAGGAAGATCACTAGAAATGCATTCTTGCCAGCAAGTCCGTAGTTGTAAATCACTGTGGCCCACAACAAACATTCTGGGAAAGCAGTACTGCTGGACTCTATCTATGTACAAATGACAAAGGGCTCTTTGTTTCTCCTAAATTCTTGGAATGTAATTTCTACTTTTTCTTCTTTATCCATTTTACTATGTATATAAACTAGGAAACCATTTACAACTCAGTAGGAGGCAAAAACAAAACACAATCATCAACTTGTCACATGTTGTGTGGCATTGGAGCTCTTCCTAACAACTCAGATTAAGTCCTCTATAAGAATGTTTTATTATATAGTTTATTGAAAAATCAATACATTCTGGTCCCACAGCCATCCATTAAGTCACCTTCAATAGAGAAAGGAGCTTTTGGACTGTCTGATGGATGGAACCTAGTGTGTTCAAACAGAGAGTGCTTACTTGAAATGGGAGGAATGCAAAGCACCAACAACTTCTTAGTGGGCTGTGAGTATCTGATGGCAGTTACCTCATTCCATAAAGCAGATTAATTTCATTTTGAGGTCATTAAAATAGTTAACCATATGACAAATATCCAAGATTTTATAACCTTTTTCCAAACAATCTTTGCATCTCAACATGGATTAACAGTGTTTCTTACGTGAAGAAAATGAATAGGATAGAGTCTTAGTTGACATAGTAGTTATTATTACTATTATCAGTTAATAAAATCATAATATCATAATTTTACCTTGCAGTACATCCTTCCATAAGATTCTATTCCTGATGTAAGTTATGTCAATCCACTTAAAACACTTTTTATACTTCCAGTTCAATCCCTCTTCTGAGACTTACTTCTCAGGAAATAAATCCCAACAATAACCATTTCTCAGCACATACCTGAAGAATTTCTTAATATCTTCTGCTTTGATTGTCTTGAGAATATCTTGGTATAGCTGGTAGTCATTTGTTGCTGATGGTGAGACATCAGAAGGGCAATTCATGTGTGCATAATAACCTATTATAATTCCAAAAATAAATAGAATGGTGGCTGTGAAAAGTATTTTTAAAAGAGAGCAAAAGTTGCAGTGACTGCCCTTTGGTGCAGATCTTGTGTAGTGGGTAACATAGTCAGACTCTTCTTGAAGTCTCTGGAACCTTCCTTTGGGTGAAGTTGCTGGTTGAATGGAATCAAGATGGAGGTCTAAAGTCTCTGAGTGCCCCAAGTTCTGATTCTCAGCGTTGTCTGGTTGGAACTGGTCAAAGCCCGGCTCTTCCAGTTCCTTCTCCATATCCCACTCTAAGTCAAGGGCAGTGGCTTGAAGGTCATCATTGTCTAAGTACTGTGAGTGTCCTGTGGTTCTTAGATCTGCATTGACCTTCTGATAAGCCATCTTTTTGCCTATGAAAATGAAAGAAAATGGAAATTATACTACCTTAAAATAAATAGTTATTAAAATTAAAAGCAAAGAATAAAACATAAAACAAAAGAAGCCTATTTGTTGCAGAAAACATTAATGATTAATGTCTGGACACATGGCTCCTCCATGTGTAGCTCAAACATGAAGGTTCAGACTCAGCAAGAGAGCTGAACGTGATGATGCAAGCTTCTGTAATCCTAGCACTAGGTAGGCAGTCACAAAATCTCTGAGGCTTGCTGGACAGGTAATTTTGATAAATATGCATGTTCCTGTCTCAGTAAGAACAAGTAAGGATACCAGAAATTGACCTCTCCCCTTTGCATGCATGCACACGTGTGCATTTATATTCACCTCATTCGCATATGACACATATATGTACACTTCACTTTAGTAATTATAACCATTCCCCTACAGAAAACATTTAATCACTAATAATTTAATCTTACTTTGTCGTTAAATATAGAGGGGACGTAGAAATGAACAATAAAATTTGAAAGTATTTCATGGAAAGTCTATTTTAAAAGCTTTAAAACTACACATAAAAATACACAACCAATCTCTGTAGTTGTAGAGAGTGACGGGAGCACACAAAACTACATAATGTGTAAGAATGAAGCCAATTTTAACCACATTTAGATACAACTTTAAACAATTTAAAGACAGATGCAATGAAGCAATGACTTGATTTCTTTTTATTAATTTTTTATTAATTACACTTTATTCATTTTGTATCCCCCCATAAGCCCCTCCCTCCTCCCCTGCCAATCCCATCCTCCCTCCCCTTTCTGCATGCATGCCACTCCCCAAGTCCACTGATAGGGGAGGTTCTCCTCTTCTTTCTGATCTTAGTCTTAAGAGAAGGAAAGGATAAAAGACCTTGAGATGATTACCTACATTTGAGCTGGTTTGGAAAACAGAAAAACCAGTATCAATTCTATAGAACTGCAAGAAGTAAAATAAGGTGCATTTATACAATCCTGGGTGAAGAAAAGGGATGGGATTTTTTAAGCTGTCAAACAGAATGAAGGTTTTCCTAGAATGTATAACATGAACTGGCTTAGTTCAGTGAAATTTAAGTAAAAGTCAAGAATGGCATGTGTCCAAAGATCAAACGCTTTGCCAGTTTGGGAGGTCTTAGATTCATAACCTTGTATATGACAGATGGATGCTTCCCTCTCCTACAGTTTTGCATAACCAACCGTCTGTTGTGTCCGTTGTGTGCAGAGTGGCATTAGGCTATCGTGGCTAATTAGCTGTAAGTGCTCTCAGTTCTGTTAGCCGCCAGAGCGTCACAGTTGTAGAGTAGAAGTGTCCACACTATTTACACTTACACTTTGTGTAATCTCAGCTGGATGCTGAGGTCCTTTCCCATGCTCTATGACATTTCTAAATCTCCAGTAATTCTCTGGGAGGAGTAAAGCATAAAGCTCAACTGATAATTGATACGTTAATTCTTAATGATAGTCATTAACAATAACAAAGAAGAGAAAAAAACAGGACTTCATGAGAGAAGATAGCATTAGCCACAGAATTTTGACCTTTCATAGGTTAGCTAAAAGAAAGCCAAATAATAAAAGTGCTTGGAACTTTTAGGAATATTAGACATAACTTAGTATTCAATAATGAACAACAAATAATATAATTCTATTATTTTCATATACTACTTTATCAAGTAGAATTCATTCTTGTCCAGAACTGACCCCAGAATTTATCATTTGTGTCAGTCATTGGGAGAGGCAACAAAAGTAAAGAAGTATGGGGGTTTCTGTTCTCACAAGGGAAAAGAAACAATCAATCTTAAGAGACAGAGGAATACAAAAGAGAAAAGAACAAACATAATGTGCTGAGTTGTCCTAATAAAATCTATGGAGAAACACTTATTAGGATTTCTTATTATTATTTGTTAATATTTTTCCAAATTCTTCTTTTTTCTGTATGTCCATTTCCAGTATGTAAAATACAATTTATTTTTCTTCTTTATTATTATTATTATTAGTTACATTTTATTAACTCTGTATCCCAGCTGTATCCCGCTCCCTTATTCCCTCCCAGTCCCACCCTCGCTCCCTCGGCTCCTCCCTGCCCCTTTCCAAGTCCAGTGATTGGGGAGGACCTCCTCCCCTTTCATCTGACCCTGGTTTATCAGGTTATCTTCAGGACTGGCTGCAAAGTCCTCCTCTGTGGCCTAGCAGGACTGCTCCTCCCTTGGGGCGTGGGGAGGTCAAAGAGCCTGCCAATGAATTCCTGTCAGAGACAGTCCCTGTTCCCCTTACTAGGGAAAACCAATTGGTTACTGAGCTACCACGAGCTTTGTCCAAGTAAAGGTTCTAGGTGATATCCATACATGGTCCTTGATTGGAGAGACAGTTTCAGAAAAAAAACCCTGTGCCCAGATATATTTGGTCCTTGTGGAGCTCCTATCCTTTTCATTTCATGTAATGTATTTTGATTGTATTTACCCACCTATCCCAATGTTTTCTAAATCCACCCTACATTCCTCCTCACCCAACTTCATGTCCTTTGTCTATCTGTCTGTTTAAGTCCATAGAGTTCAATTCCTCTCAGGTGAAGAACATGGTTCTATCAAGGGTGAAGTCATGAATCCCTAAAGAAAATGGACTCACCCTTTCTCCGCAGCTTTCGATTGTTTAAGGAACTTCAGTTAGGGGTTGCCACCTTTCCAGATTCCATGCTAAGATCTTGTCTGGTTTGGACTTGTTTAGGTAGTATGCATTCCGTCACACTTGCTGTGCGTTCATATATGCAACTGTATTTACTTGTCCAGAAAACAGATATATTGCAATTACATACACCCTAAGGCGTTTGTACGTTGTATGCATGCTCTTCCTCCCTGATCTCTATGCCTTGGGGAAAGGTGGTTTGCTAGAACATTCCATTTAGGGCTGAACACTCTGCAGTTTTTTTAATTCTCTGCACTTTGACAAGTTGTGGGTCTCTATAACCGCCATCTACTGAACAGGACGCTCTGATGAGGGTTGAGAGATGCACTAATAAATGTGTGTAATGATAAGTCATTAAACTCATTTTAATATGATGTTAATTTGGGGAAATGAGAGTAGTGGGTTCCCCCTAGGACCTACGGCCTGGCTAGTCACAGGTTCTTAGCTCTAATTACTCTGCCAATTAGAGGTTCCACTGAGGTAACTCAGACCCTAAAAGACGAACTTCACTTGTTTTTCCTCATATGTGGATGTTAGCTCTGAATACTTAGGTATGTTTGTTTCTTTTGGAATACCCGTAGATGTCAGGAAAGACCACATGGGAAGGTCTTTCAGGGACAAGGAGATTCAGTGTGGTGCTATGAAGAGGAAAGTGGAGGATAATGGAGCTGGTAGGGTTAAATGGAGTAGAAGTGAAAGGAAATAGTAAAGAAAATATTTAGATGATGTAATAAACACTAAAGACCTCTCAGAACAGTCATATGGAAATTTACTACTACAGAAGCCATCTTTTTTCTCTCTCACACATACACTCACACAAATTTAAACAAAGTTACCCTATAACAAAGGCATACCATCTCTACTAGACACCAGAGCTTACCAAATACCAAACCCAATGCCAGAATTATTTCCTTTAAATAATTCCTCTGCATGTTAGCCAGAGAGGTCCTGCAGAAACGCAGATATTTTAGGTTACTGACAGTACTCGTGGTTATCCTCTGCAACTGGACAGAAGCCCTTACTGTTAAAGACATGATACACGTGGGTCACAGATCAATAGTAATCATTAAAGAATATACATTCTTATGGTGAAAAATTACTTAGGAGTACTTGCTGCTCTCTCAGAGGACACAAGTTCAGTTCCGAGAACCCACACTGTGTATAACACCTATTTTAGTGGATCTCACACCTTCTTCTTACCTCCATAGATACCAGGCATAGACAAGCTGCATAGACAAACATGCAAGAAAACAGTCATATGCAAAAAAAGTAAAAAATAAATAAATCTTTAAAAACTTAAAAATTTAATTTTTTGGTATTTTTGTTTTGTTTTATTTTAATTTGCTTTTGGTAGTTTTACCAAAAGGAAGGAATGTGAAGCAAGGATCAAGGGAGGGGAAATATTGCAAAGGCTGAAACAGCATGAGCATAGTTCTTTTGGAACTCTTAGAATGATATGCTAGCCAGGGATGAGTCGCATGCTAATACTGATACTAAGACATAGCTAAGAAAGAAAGCACTGGGGAAAAAAGATCAGGATTTCTCTGTAGCCTGCAACTGCTGTCTATGTGGGGAACATGGCATGAATGCAAACGCTAACCTTATCTAGTACACCCAGGACTCCCCCATGAGTGAGCCTGACAACAGCATGAACCTAAACAATTCTATTGCAACCCAAGGCTCACATCACAGCTGTGGAGCAAGCATGGCAACAGCATGAACCTGAGCTCATCCGCTGCTTGTAGATTAGATCACGAGAAATAGAAGCAACGTTTCTAGATTTAGAAGTTAAAAATAATAAATGTAAAAGGTTGCAGACATAAATTAATAAACTATACAATCTTGCATAAATATAAAATTATGTCATATGGTGAAATAATTGGGGAAGCCCATAAAATAGCCGTACATATATACTATAGTTTGGTTTGTTAATTTACTTGCTATACATTTAGTCCACACTATGGTATGAATGGGAAGCATTCCCCATAGACATGCAGAACCTTTTCATGTCTACATCATGGAACATTTTACATATGTGGCCAAACCAGCAGCCACAGAATGTGGACATGGAATTGGAAGATTATAGCCCTGCCTCATTGCCGCTCTCACTTTTTACTCCCGAGCTGCAGAGATGTAAAGAGTCATGCAGCAAACCCTACTGCCACAGAGACCCTAGCGGCAAGACTTCCCCATTTGATAAATTATATGTCCTTGAACAATGAACTAAAATAAATCATTCTCCCTTTAAGTTGTTTCTTGTCATGTATTTGATCATAGCGATGACAGAAGAAACTAATAAA